ACTGTTTTCCGTGGTCCACAAGTCGAGCTAACCCAAAATCCCCAAGTTTTGCGTTGAAATTCGAATCTAACATAACATTGCTTGATTTGATATCCCTATGCAGCACACATTGCTCCCACTCTTCGTGTAGATAGAGCAATCCGGAGGCCAAACCTTGAGCAATTTTGTATCTTGCGTCCCAAGTCAACAAGCTCTGCTCTTTGAACAAATGAGAATCTAAGCTCCCGTTAGGCATGAACTCGTACACCAGTAAGAATTTTCTTTCGTGGCACCAGCCAATCAGCTGCACAAGATTGCGATGCCTAAGTCGACTGATGATCTTCACTTCAGACGCATATTCTTTAAGTCCTTGTTTAGAACCCCTCGATATCTTCTTAACAGCAACATATGACTTCAAATCTGGTATAAAGCCTTTATAAACCCCACCGAATCCTCCCTCTCCAAGCTTTTCTCCTTCCCTAAAATTGCTGGTGGCCTGAGCCAATTCGCTATACGAAAACTTCCTTGGTCCAGCCCCCTTTTCAAATTCATCGTCAATTAATTCATGAACTATAGGATCTTCATCACTACTTTCAACAGTTGTTTCCCTCTTCTTCCACATGACTAACCGAATCAAACCCAATCCACCAAACATGACAGCACAGCCACCAATCGCCAACCCAACTGTGAGGCCTATACTCTTGTTTCTTGACTTGCGGTTGGAATTAGTACTGGCCATGGCGCTTGGTGTTTGGTTGTCCGTTGCAATACCGACCTTACTGTCATGATCAACTAGTGAAGTTGAATTGAAATTCCATGAGATGATCTTATTCAGAGAAGTATAGTTACCCGTTGAAGCAGAGAACCCAACAACAACCCAATCAGGCAAGTACTGTTTCAGATCAATAATGTAATAAAAATGCTTCATCGCTTGTGTATCACTCGTATTGCTTACAAAGGTAGTGAAGGCAACACTCAAATTTTTTGAAGTGGAATTGTAATTAATGGTAGCGTTATTTCTTTTTCCTTCCTTAATACCTCAGAAGCTCTGTTTGGGTGGCGGCAGCAGAAGATGGCCATGTGGGTGTGTAGAGTAGTAGAGTGAGTGTGATAAGAAGAAGCTGAGTTGAACTTAAACGAGTCACAAAGTGAGTGAACGTTTCCATGGTGGAAGAGAATGGAAGAGAAGAGAGAGAGAGAGAGAGAGAGAGAGAGAGAGAGAGGAAGTACTCTTTAATGTGCACAAATGTTTGTCATCATCTAAAATATAGAGCAAAGATAACTAATTTTTGAATTGAAATCGAAATATTTGGTTGCTGAAAGACTTGAGACCATTGTTGGTTATCGACTCTGAGTCCATGAAGCACTTATCTAAGACAGACAGAAGCGAGGAAGGCGAGGAGGACCACGGGAATGTCTTTTTTTTTTTCTTTCTCCAAAGCTACCCACGCCACGTTTCTTGTTTTCTCAACTTTGATTGTATGCCAAACTTTGAATAAAAAGATTACAAATGGTCGTAGTGCGCCACTAATAAGGGGAAATTAATTAAATAAAGAAGAAAGAAACATGAACTTGTCATGGCTGAATGTACGTACATAATCTCAGTGGATGAAATAAATTTCATCTTCCCTTCACTTTCCACGGTTAGCTTTAAGTCTTCTTTTGCACGTTCTCGTTGTGTTTAAACTTTGTATGCCCCCACTTAAACAAAATAAAAGTTTATGCCCCACTGAGTACATCATGTAGCATGGTGTTTGATATTAAACATATATCTAAGATAAGTAAAATTTGCCTTTTTTCTACAATTCTTTGTGTTCGAGGCGATGTAGGTATTCAAGATATCCAAAACCCTTTTCATTCCCGAATTTCATATATACTAGATTTCGAACGAATTTTGCAAGCTTCTTACAGAGAAAAGCTAGCTGAATAAACATGACAGGGATCGCCCGCTCGGCATTACTGCCTTGGGGAGGAAACAACAAAACACTTTAATATAACAATTAAAGCACTCACGAAGTTGGAAAGTCCCAAACATTGCTGCGCTGAAGGCTATAAATGAAACGTACCTTTTCATCAAAAACAGAAATCGTAGAGCCTTAAGCTGGTAGCTTTTTTACTCTCATGACCTGGGGTTAGGACGAATCAGATGCTCGAGAGGTGGTTAATGCTATTCTGAGTGCTGATGGGGTACTAGGAATTGAAGCAGTGTTTTGCATGTTTTTTGATTCATTTGTGTGCCAATTTAGGCCACATCATATAACCGTGCAGCACACGTACTCACTCGTATGCTATTTCGAGTACAGATAAAATAAAAAAGTCCAAAGACTTCCTTGATTTTTTTTCTTATCTTAAAATTGTTGTTATAAATTAAAAAAAGAAAACACTGTTGAAACGCAATTTGCATCAATAGTTAAAGAAAAAATATGTGTATGGACAAATAAGATAAGATTCATTGCGTTATGCTCGATCTTCATCGTTGTCGTCGGTCTTATTATAGGTTTTAAGTTGATTTTTAGGCCAAGACTAGAAACCTATAAATTGTAAATGATAATTTCACACCCTAAACAATAGAGTATGTCAACATATGGCATTAAATTTTAAGAATAATAAATAGAAGTGAGGTTTTCTTTACGCGTGAAGTCTTTAGGAAAGATATTAGAACGTTTTCCATAGAGCTAGAAAGCTTTTTATGATTGTTAAAATATATAGGTTTTTACTAAAACCCCATTTTTGCATGACATTATACAAAACTCATAGAGACTATTAAAAGAGAAAAACCCAAAATTAGGCACTTGTTCTTGTTCAATTGGTTCACTACTAGAAATATGGCTACTACTCACTGATGTAATAGATACAAATTTATAAAAGTGCCATGTGAATTATTTTGGAAACCAATTCTACCATAGTGCCTATTAAAAGTATGGCTTATTTACTGTAGCACCCCCTGAAACTTCGGTCAAATCTCACTTAACCCCCCCAAAGTTAAAATGGCCCACTTTACCCCCTTGACCGTGGTTTTGTGTTCCACTTAACCCCCCACCATCAACGCCATCCAAAAGACCGTCAAATAAGCTGACGTGGCAGGGCATTATGGTCAAATCATCCACGGTGCCCAATTGCTGACCATATTCAGCATCCTACGTGGCATAGTGGACCCCACATGCGTTGAAAATCCTAATCTAAGGTGGAGACTTAAGGAGCGGACCCCAAATAACAATCTCCCCTCTTCTTCTTCAATAATAGGGTTGGTAAACCCAGAAAAATTACTTGCCACCATTTGAAGGATTTAGGGTTCCCCAGAGAAAAATCTCTCCATCTTTCTTAGATTAGAGGGTGTGAAGATGAGGAAAGAACCTCTAGGAGGAGAAGAGCTGGCCGTTGCAGCACCTCATTGCTACTGTGGGAGGCTTGCTCGGTTGCAGACTTCTTGGACAGAGGCCAACCCACTTCGGAGGTTCTTTGTGTGTCCAAAGTCAGAGGTAGGTTTTGGATTTGCTAGTTTATCGAAAAGTGGAAATTTTTTTTTGAGAATGTGATGGAATTGTTGTTTGAATGCAGAGGGGGAAAAACGGTTGTGGGTTTTTTTGTATGGGTTGATATTGAAATGCCTCGCCGTGAGAGAGCTCTGATGGCTTGGCTGCTGAGGACAAAGAGAGAAGCTGAAGATCAGATTGTGCGTGCGAGAGCAAGAGAGAAGAAGTTGTGGATTGCTCTGTTTATTTCTTGGGCCTTTGTGTTTATGGTTTGGTTTGGCAATGTTGGGTAATGTAAGTTAGGCAATTAATATGTTTGAAAGTTAGGCAATGTGGTATGTTTGAAAGTTAGGTAAGGTTGTGTAATGTACATAGTTGAATGGCAAGTTAGGGAGATGAGAGCCTTATGTAATGGCTGTAGCATTTTGCAAATGTAATGGTTTCAAAGCCCTTTTTGTAATGGTTAAGACTACAGACTTTTGTAAGCACCACTAATTCTGCAAACATTTAAGAGCTTTTAAAGTGCCATTGATTAATACATAAATTGTACAGAGTCTTGAACATATATTTCATATACATAACTCAAAATACTTTCTAAGCACATGTTACAAAAGACCTCATATGCACTTGTTTAATCCATGGAAATGCCAAATAGTTTGAACCCAAAAAAAAAGTAGACAATAAAATACCAAACAGACATTTCTACCCAATAACATATGCGTCTACCAACACACAGCAAAACATCAAAACAAAGGTGAGTTTTTCAATATCTCCATGGCTTAAACCTTCCCAGGAAGGCTTTCCTCTTAGCTGGAGACTTAAGCCTAACTTTCCTTTGTGGGGAAGCTTGTAAAGGCCGAGACGAATTTGGTTGTTCAGACTGGGAGGCTTGTTCAAACAAAGCAGCTTCAGACGCTTGTTCAAACTGAGAAGCTTGAGATGGTTGTTCAAACTGAGATGCTTGACATGGTTGAGCTGGTTGAGGAGATGGTTGTTGAGCTTGGTTAGACTGAGATGGTTGAGATGGTTGAGCTGGTTGGTGAGATGGTTGAGGTGGTTGATGAGATGGTTGAGGAGCTTGGTCATGATTGGTCCTTTTTTTAGCCTTTGATATGATCTGAAAACATAACAGAGTTATATTAACATGGCTGCTTTTGGATTAATATGTACAAATGAAGAGTTCCATAATGTTAATTGAATAAAAGTATCCCAACTTACTGGCTGTTTCTGCCTTGATTGTCTTGTAACTCTTTGACTTGATCTCTTGCCTTGATGTGCTATCTTCTTTTGCCTTTGTGATGGTACCTGGCAAACAAACATCACTGGGAAATCCATATCAGAATGCCAAACATACAAAACTTTTAAAATCACATGCTGTTGAATATACCTGGCTGCTACTCCCTGCTTCATTTACCCTTGGACATTTCCTCTTATTATGCCCTGCTTGCTTACATATGGAACATTTGATTTCCAAATTATACCTTGGCAAGTGTTTAGCTTTAGGATTAGAGCTTGAAGATGGTTCACCGGCTGAGCTTATCCTAGATTTCTTTGGCCTCCCTGGCTACTTATGAAATTTAGGTGGCAACAAAGGTGGGAAATTTGATTTAGGCCACAAGTCTTGGCTTGGCATTGGATGAACCATGGGTTTGTAGGCTTTCATGAAGGCTTCTTTTTTGTAATAATCATGGACATAGCTGATGTGATTGCCATTTAACTGCCCAATGGCAGCACAAGCATGCTTACATGGGATCCCAGTTAGATCCCATTGCCTACATGAACAACTTCTGTTCCTCAAATCAACAACCACCTGAGTGCCTCCAAAACACTTGACCTCATATTTGCTCTCCCCAGCAAGCCTTGGAATGCACCAGGCTGACTGCTTCTTAAGCTTCTCCAGAGTTGCAAACACTCTTGGCCCCACATCATGATGCCATTTCTCCATAGCTTCTCGTCTAGTTGCCATCAACAACATGATGTAATACCTGATCCTCTCAAGCAATGTTATAATAGGCTTGTCTCTAGCATCAAGGATAGCACTGTTGAATTCCTCACACATGTTATTCAACAGAATGTCACACTTTGAGTGTGTTCTGAAGTGAGATCTACACCATTGCATTGGATCAAGCCGTGACAACCAATCAAAAGCT